TCTGTGGCGGCCGCGGCGCAGGCGCTCGCTTGAGGGGGCGGGGATGCCCCCCCGCGCCCAGCTTAGCCCCCGCGGGTTAGGGTTGAGGTGGCTGCTGCTGCTGCGAGGGGGACCGGTGGCTGTGGAAGGACGGGGCTGCGGTGGCGGAAGGCGCAACTTCTCCGCTATGGTGAGCGGCTGAGCAGCAAAGGAGAAACACTCGGAACGAGTTGACAGATCCAGCGGGGGCGGGCGGGATTGTTCGCCCCCTGTTCAGCGTAACTTGTGGCCCGGTGACCTTTGCTCATGTTGGTTTGCTTTCTTTTAGGCTCTGAACTGCGATTTTAAGTTCTTACAAGGACGGTTTAGGGGAGGCTCAGTTGGAAATCCGCATTTGGGCCTCTCGGCTCTTTTTTGCACGTGAGAGGCTGAAAGGGAATGTTAGTGTTCCTCGCACGTGAAATTCGAAGATCAAGTTTGCAATTTTCGCCCTGACCTAACGATCTTTCAGATTTGGGGCAGGAGGATCCTGTATAAGTACAGCAAGGAGTTTTGTTCTGTCTTGTTTATTTATTTATTTATATTTCATATTTGTCACTGCCCATCTCACTGCAGAGTGACTCTGGGCGGTGACAAATTTGAAATATAAATAAATGTTTATCTTATTTATCAGGGAGTAAGTGGCCCAATTACCTTAAGAATTATCTTACCAGTGTGATTGTTTGATCTGCTTTCAGGTCCTGCTCATATGCCTCCTGATGAGATGATTCAGAGTCTTTGGGAACCGAGCAGTGTACACATTTAATAAATAATAATAATAATGATGAGCAGGAGAGACAGGTCCTTCCTGAGGATATCTCCAAAGTAGTTGGACTACATCTGGGTGACTTACAGTTGGCTCCTTCAGTGTAGTACTTTGAAGACCCTATGAAGTGCCTAAGTATGAAAACTGGCTGGGTGACTTTGGGCCAGACATTCTCTCTCAGCCCAGCCCACCTCACAGGGTTATTGTTGTGGGGAAAATAGGATGCAGGAATATGGGTATGTTCGCCAATTATCTATAAAAAGGCAGGATAACAATATCATCACCTTCACAAAGTTTTTCTGTGCTAGCGCATGGCTCCCAACGTTTCTCTGCTTTGTAAATGGGATCCTGTTTGATCTTGCAACAGTTTTCATAGGGATAATCGTATTGTTTGTTGCACCAAAAGTAAGTTACTGGGGCATCTTAAATGAACACATTTATTATGAATATATTTTTGTAGAAAATAGTCCACAGAAAATTATATTTCTTTCATTTTTAAGTGCCAGATTGGTTCTTTTTTCCTTGTGGATGTTGTACATTGGTTAATGAAGGCTTGGCCTAAAAAGCAGGCTACTACTAATAGAATAACTACCTATATCTGTGGCTTCTCATCTGTGATGGTCAGTTTCCCCACAATCAAGTGACTACTAGTTGCTTTGCGTATTATGTGTTAATTAGGCTAGTATGAATCTGCTCTGCTTTGGGAAACCATTGAGAATTTGTTCACATAGTGATCTAGTGCTTGTTTATTCAGAATTAAATCCCACTAAGAGCTATCTCCCAAGTAAGCATCCATGGCAATGTACACAATTCTTGGAAATGCACAGTTCTTTGGAACCTAGTAAGTCCTAAAAAAATAAATGGAATATATTTCTGAATAAAAATATTTAGGATATCTTATGTATGTCTACATTCTCATGAATCACATCTTAAATAGTCTGGGTGTTACCTGGCTGCAGCATGCCCACATGTTACAATTTTGTGGCCATGTAATTTGCATATTCATTGCATATTGTTCCTTGTCTATTACACACACACACACACACACACACACAAGACCTATACAGTTGCCTCATCAGGCATTCTGAAAGGATGAAGGTACACCACATAAAGTGATGAACTTTAACTGGAGTGCTCACATGTTGCATGCTCCAGTTTTCTGAACACCTGAATGGAAATACAGTAATGAAGTTGTGATATGACACAATGTTTGTGAATTAATGGCACAATAGTTTAAATAACCTTGAATTCAGGTACAGATTGCAAGTCTGTGTATATCAGCTGGCAGACAAGCAGTGCATTAGTGTTGAAATTCAAGGAATGAAGTTCAGGCATACATTGAATAGCAGAAATTGGAACAATGACAATGTGGGAAACTATTAATAATAGTACATGATAGCTAATGTATAAAATGGAGAACCTCTAATAAATATTCTCATGTATATCCTCACAGAACTCAGAGTGATATAAATAATAGTCTGTTTTGCTCTCAAATTATTTCAGGTATCCTAGACTAAGAAAGTTGTTGATCTTGGTTCTGGAATTGCCAATGGGAACAGTATTGTTTTCTGCTGATTCAAGGATAAGAGGACAGAACCATAACTTGGTATAAGGAAAGACCCATAGGGAGTTCATAGTTTAATGTATTGAGAAAGAAGAGAATAAATGAAATGAGGCATATAATTAGGGTTTTGTATCAAGAGAGACATATTAATTATGAATAGTAAGAAGTAGATGAGCAACATATTTCTTCCACTAATTCTCTTCCGTGCATCTGCCTCTACAAGATGTGGGGTGTATACGTACTAGGATTGTATTGTGAAAGTTTAGATAATTTAGCACAGAGTACAGAGTTCAGCATTTTGAAACCTTCAGCTTTCTCTTTTTCTGAAAAAATAAATTATACGGACAGTTATATAACATGCCTAATTAATGCTGTGTACATAATATAACATCTCTAACATAAGATTTTCTTATTATTTGAAACAATATAGTTCAGGATACATGTAGTCTATACAGTATTCTGAGAACCATAAAGTTAGGATTAGCTTTTTAATGTTGAGTTTCTGTTCTACTAGATATTTAATATAATCTGATCCCCAGTTTGGATATTGTTAAAAATGACAGTGAAAATGTAGGATATTAGTTTTAAGTAAAATAAAGTTGTGTATATTTTATTATTTTTATCTTGAATGAAATTTCATAACAGGGATACCTCTGTGATTAAGAATTTATTGTGAACTGATGTAAGCTGTCTCAGTGCTAACAATCTAGCGGGGGTCAGCTGATAAGGAATTATTTTTCTGTAGCTGTAGAAGCTTGAACTGTTTTAATTTTCCCCCTAGCTTTTTTATGTCAGATTTCTCTTAGTATTTCTGAAGCTTTTGCATTGCAGGAATTCCCAATCAAGTACAGGTAGTTCTCACTTACCGACTGCAATTGGAACTGCAACTCTATTGTTAAGTGGCATGGTTGTAAGTGAAATATCACGTGACCCGCTGACGTACAATGTCAGTTCTGGCTGTGGTCATTAAGCAGATCAATGTGGGTCATTAAGAGCAACATCATGTGACTGCGACTTGCAACTTCCTGCTGGCTTCCTGTTGACATTGCCGGAAACTGGCTGCAAATGGCAATTGCGTGACCCTGGGGTGCTGTGACTATCATAAATGCATGCTGGTTGTCAAGTGCCCAAATTGCAGCCACGTGACTTCAGGGATGCTGTGATGGCTGCATCTTCAAGGACTGGTTGTAAGTCTCCCTTTTCAGCACAGTCGTAATTTTGAATGGTTGCTGAATGAGTGGTTAGTAAGTGAGGACTACCTGTACAATTAATCTTCTAAAAAATAATTGAATGATGATTTAATTAGCAAAACTGAAATTTGGTGAAGCAGAATTGGGCAAAATGTTATATTGCAATTCCCCTAATCCCTGTCATTAGACATGTTGACCAAGGCTAATGGGAGCACAGCTTCCACATTTAGAAGGCCACATATTACCCATCCTTATGAAGATTGAAAGAAAGTTTGGGTCTAAGGCTCACAGTATAAATTTGGTGATTGTGAACTCTAATAAAACTCATAGGTTAATCTGTTAATCTGAGATGTATCTTTCAAACTGACAAAAACTTGATCTGTGATCTTCTGTATATCATATACCAGCTTATCCATTCTTAAAGAGGAAACATTGCTTCCTTATTTCACAGGGGATTTGTGAAATATATTTTATTAATGACTTCTAAAAATGTGTAGGAGAAAACTTTCAAATAAGCATAGACCCAAAATAGTTTGACATGGTTTTCCAGGAAAGAACTGCTAAAGAGGAAATGGGAATTCTACAACATAAAAAAGGAATGGTGAGTGGACATTGAAATGTCAACAGTTAACAAACAGCCATACCTGACCTATGATCTGTGATTGCATCCTACCACATAACTGGTTAAAGATGGTAAGTAAATAAAAGTAGACATTTGAAGCCATCCAGGAAAAGTAAAATATATCCACAGGCCAGTCAATTCTATCTCCGTTATCAGTTAGTCATGTAGAATTAGTAGTTAATATTAAATGGTATTCAGACAACATGTCTGGAAAAATTGAAAATAGATAATAGCCATATCTTCCTGTCCAAATTATCTCTAAGTTCTTAATTTATTATCCTTATTATTTTGTCTTTTTTTTTTACCCTTTATTGAGAGTGATTATGTATAATATTATTTATATGCAGTATAAACACATAGACTGTTAAAATCAATCAAACCACAAAAAAACCCTATGCCCCAATAGAAGTACTCTTCTCCCTAAAGATAAATAGGCATTATTTTCTTAAAATAACTACTAGTATTTCATCAGCATCTAATGTTAACAGCATTTACCTTATATACTAATTATTAATAAGATAGAAATATGATTCATCACTCATTTTCAGACTTTAAGCTTGTTTATTATTGTTAATCTTTTAATATGCAGTTAATTTGTTTCATAGTAAAGTATTTAGTATTAATATTTTATTCATGTATTTTATTCAATAGTATTTTAATCATGTAAAAATCATTGAGACTTTTAACTTTGCAAATATAATATGCAGAAGTTTTTCTATTGCATCTTGGTAACTTATGAAATATATCTTTTTAAACTGATTGTTTCATGCTGAATTCCAGTTCATCAGTAAATAATAATTGCAAATATAAATGTGGGATACCTATATTATATAATTAAAGTATTACTGATGATTAATTACATAAATATATTCTCAGTAAGATTAAATGAAGAATTTACTTGTTGGTATATAATTATGTTAACTGCTGCTTTCTTTTTTTATTATACTATTTATTATATGATTACTCCTATTTTTTGCTTATATAATTTTTATGTCAAATTTATATTTAACATGTGTATTTCTAGTCTAGAATGTTTAAATTTCTTCCCCCCCGCCCTTGAATAAATACTTATATTTGAAATAGAGTGTCACCTAGTGGACAAAATGATCTTTGTGTTTAACAAATATAATTATTCAAGTTCATAGGATCGGGTTTTCAAAAATTGTCCACTTTACCTATATATCTGAAGTTTGAATTGAATTTCAGAGGCTTGTCTTGAAAATTAGTTTAATCTGGTTTGTTTGAAATGTTTAACTTGTCAAATGTCAATTTGCCCTGAAGTAGTGCTGTTACTTTTTTTCTTTGAGGAAATTGATTGATAGGAGGTTTATTTACTGTTTATTGTTAATAAATTGTAGAAACAGAAGGTAGTGGATTATGTAAAATGAAATATTAAAAACAAATCAGAGTATACATTAAATCAATGTTTGGAGCAAGACTACTCCAAACGTCCTTCTTAAATCTTTTTTTAGGATTCATGACTAAATATAAATTCCAGTTTGTTTTATCATTTCATTTTTAACAACATTAAATATTGTATCCTAATCCTCTTTTCCAAATGACATCCAAAGGCCAGTTCAGAATAAAAGATTCTTCTGCAGTTTAGGAACTCAGATTTGTTTTTTCTTGGTTTCTCACATTGCAATTTTATTTACTTCCACTCAGAAGTGAATCCCAGCAGGCCCTCCCTCTTTCTCTTTCTCTGTGTCTGTAGGATTGCGGACTATGAGTTCTGCCACCCCATAATCCATCCCATGTGCAAAGCATTTCTTTTACTGATCATTGTTTTTATCCTGCATGACTCCCAAGCACACTTAATATTCTTTTTGCCAAGAAATCATTCTTTGCAAGTGCTTTTTGCCAAGGATGTACAAAGAGTGCTTTCAGCTGTCCTCAGTTCCAGCTACCCAGTAGTTGAGAAGAAAATGGCAGCCCAACCTGTCTGTATTTTCTTTCAAATCTTATGTGTTGCAATGTTGATGCCTTTCACACTGGTAACAACATCTGCTGTCTTAGCACCAGGCTTATGGAGAACAGAACATCTGTGATTACACAGAAATATGCAGGGGCATTGTATTGGAGTGCCAACCAAAAACCACAAACTTTCTTCAACCATTCTGAATTCAGTGAATGTGTCTCATGGATCATCCGAATGTAAGGATTTGGATAAGTGTATGGGTTTGCGATCGCTGTTCTTGTTAATGAAGAATATATGCTCCCTGAACTGATAAAGGTTACATATTGAAAAGTTTGAAGGAAGTCTTAAGAGAGTGCTTGGAACAGTTTTGCGGAATTCTTAAGATTGTTGGAGAAAGCTTGGCAGTTTATATTGTAAATGTATTGCTCATTGTGTCTGGTAAACAAAACAAAACAAAAAGGTTTAAGTCTGTGGTTATCCCCAGACTTGATTAAGAGAATCGTGAGAAGTAAAGCAATATGATGGGCAGTCTGTCCAATCAGAAAACAGATGCCTATGGATAGGCACCTGCAGTGGAAGCTGGAGAGTGACAGAGAAAACTTAATTTTTAAAATATGGTGAGGAAACCTAGTATTTTAGATTTTACAGTGTGTTACTACTGCTTTACAATTAGAGGGTTACAGTCAGCAGGTGGTGTTAAACTGCAGAGATTGGATATTCTTGGAATGTGGTAAACCGCTAAGAGAGAAATATTTGTAAACCTGCCTCTGACATGCAGATGATGTAAAAACTATCTATATAGATGAAACAGTCAGCTGGAATGCTTTATGGATTTTAGAGGTGTTCGTTATCTAGAATATAATATGAAGGTTATTATACAGTGGGGCAAAAAAGTATTTAGTCAGCCACCAATTGTGCAAGTTCTCCCACTTAAAAAGATG